ATAAATACAACTAACCAGGGAGATGAAAGATGTCTACAATGAGAATTATAAAACACTGCTGAAAGAAATGAGAAATGACACAAATAAATGGAACAATATTCCATGCTCATGAATAGGAAGAATTGATATTGTTAAAATGGACTTACTGCCCAAAACAATGTACAGATTCAATGCTATTCTTATCAAACTACAATATTTTTTACAGAATTAGAAAACAAAAACAATTCTAAAATTCATATGGATCCAAAAAAGAGCCTGAATTGCCAAAGGAATCCTAAGCAAAAAGAACAAAGCTGGAAGCATCACACTGCTTGACTTCAAACTATACTACAAGGCTATGTAACCAAAACAACATGGTATTGGTACAAAAACAGACAGACTAATGGAACAGGTTAAAAATCCAGATATAATGTACCCTACAACCATCTGATCTTTGACAAAGTCAACAATAACAAGCAATGGGGAAAGAGCACCCTATTCAATAAATGGTGCTGGAATAACTGACTAGTCATATGCAGAAGATTCAAATTGGACCCCTTCCTTTCACCATATACAAAAATCAACTCAAGATGGATTAAAGACTTAAATGTAAAACCTAAAACTGTAAAAACCATAGAAGAAAACCTGGAAAATATCATTTTGGACGTAGGCTCTGGCAAATTTTTCATGTTGAAGACTACAAAAGCAATTGCAGCAAAAACAAAAATTACAAGTGGGACCTAATTAAAGAGCTTCTGCACAGCAAAAGGAACTTTCAGCACAGTAAACAGCCTATAGAAGGGGAGAAAATATTGGCAAACTATGCATCTAAGAAAGGTCTAATATCAAGAATCTATAAAAAACTTAAATCAACAAGCAAAAAACAAACAACCCAATATTTTTAAAAAAGGGCAAAGGACATGAATAGATACTTCTCAAGAGAAGACATACACATGGCCAACAAGCATATGAAAAAATTCTCAACATCACTGATGATTAGATAAATGCAAATCAAAATCACAATGAGATACCATCCCACAACAGTCAGAATGGCTATTGTTAAAGCAAAGAAAAAAAAAAACAAACAACAACAACAACAGCCGCAACAAAAAACTAGTGAGGTTGCAGAGTAAAGGAATGCTTACACACTGTTGGTGGGAATGTACATTAGTTCAGCCACCATGGAAAGCAGACTGGAGATTTATCAAAGAACTTAAAACACAATCATTTGACCCAGCAATCCCATTATGCAGTATATATCCAAAGGAATATAAATTGTTCTACCATAAAGACACATGCATGTGTATGTTCACTGCAGCACTATTCACAGTAGCAAAGACATAGAATTAACCTAGATGCCCATCAATGGTGGACTGAATAAAGACAATGTGGTACATATATACCATAGACTACTATGCAGCCATATAAAAGAAATAGTGTCCTTTGCAGCAACATGGGTGAAGCTGGAGGCCATTATCCTAAGCAAATTAATGCAGGAACAGAAAACCAAATGACACATGTTCTCACTTATAAGTGGGAGCTAAACATTGAGTACACATGGACACAATGAAGGGAACAATAGACACTAGGGCCTATTTGAAGGTGAAGGGTGGGAGGAGGGTGAGGATCGAAAAACTACCTATTGTGTATTACACTTATTACATGAGTGATATACCAAATGCCCACAACATGCAATTTACCCATGCAACAAACCTGCACATGTACTCCCTGAACCTAAAATAAAAGTTCGAATAAAAATCTCTTTATGACATACGAGTCACATTGGATCCTTTTTATCCATTCTGAAAGTCTCCTCTCTTATAGCTGCTGTATTTAGACCATTTACTTGTAATGTAATTATTGATATAGCTGAATTAATATCTACCATATTTGTTACTGTTTTCTATTCATTACCTTGTTTTTTTATTATTTTGTCTTCCACTTGTTTTCTACTTCCTTCTATTTAAATTGAATATTTTGTATGATTTAATTTTTTCCTATTTTAGTGTATCAATTATACTTCTTTTTTACCCTTGAATTTACAGGATACATTTACAATGAATCTAATCCTTTTTCAAATAACACTATACCACTTACTTCTTTTGGTAGTACAAGTATTTTATAACAGGGTATTCCCAATTCCTCCCTCCTATTCCTTACAACATTGCTGCTATTCATTTCACTTATCAATAGGCTATAATTTCTGAATAGGTAATTAAGAAAAATAAAATATTTTATTTTACTTTTATTTATTCCTTTTCTATTGCTTTTCCTTGCTTTACATAGGCCAGAATTTCTGACCTGTATAATTTTCATCCTTTCTAAAGAATTTCTTTTAACATTAAAAAAAAAAGCAGGTCTAGAGGTGACAAATTCCCACAATTTTTGTTTGTCCGAAAAAGTCCAATTCTCTTTCGCTTTTGGAGGACAATTTCACTGGATACAGAACTGTAGTCAGTTGTTGTTGTGGTCCGATGTTGCATCCCCCAAATTTCATATGTTACAATCCTAACCTCTAGTGTGATGGTATTAGAAGACAGAACCTTTGGGTGGTAATTAGGTCATGAGGGTGAAGCCCTCATGAATGAGATTAGTGGTTATAATAGACATGAGATGATCTATCCCTACCATGAGAGGATACAAGAGGGCCACCTGCAAACCAAGATGACTGTTCTCACCAGACAATGGATCTGTTGGCATCTTGATCTTGGGCTTGCCAGCCTCAGAACTGAGATAAATTTCTATTGTTTCATTAAGCAGTCTAGTTTATGGTATTTTGTTACAGCAGCCTGAGCTGAGACAGTGGTTCTTTAAACCCTTTAAATATTTCACTCCACTCTCTCCTTTCTTGCATGGTTTCTGAAGAGATGTCTGATGTAATTCTTATCCCTGCTTATCTATACACAAGGTGTTTTTTTCCTGTTTTTTTTTTCTCAAGATTTTTTTCTTGGTCTTTGATTATTTTGGTATTTATCCTTCCCAGTATTCTGTGAGCTTTCTGGATCTGTGGTTTGGTGTCATTAATTTTGGGAAATTCTCAGTCATTATTGCCTCAATACTTCTTGTGTTCCTTTTTTACTTTTACTTCTGATATTCTCATTACACATGTTACATACCTTTTAAAATTGTCCTGCAGTTTTTGGATATTTTGGATATTTTGGAGTTTTCATGCTTTTTTGCTCTGCATTTAAGTTTTACTAGTTTCTATTGACATTGTTTCAAGCATACTGACTCTTTCCTCAGTTGTGTCTCACCTGTTGGGTAGTCCATCATCATTCATTCTGTTACAGTGTTTGATTTCTAGCATTTTTGTTTGTTTGTTTCTTAGTTCACATCTCTCTGCTTATATTATCCATCTGTTCTTGCATTGTCCAATTTTCCCATTAGAACTGTCAGCATATTAATCATAGTTGTTTTAAATTTCTATGGAAATATATGAAAGGTGTGTCAGAGAAGGCAGCAGTTGAGTTGAATCTTAAAGAAGTAGGGGCTGCCAGGTGAAGGAGATGCTGGGCCGAGAGAATAAGTGGCTTTTATGAGAGAGTGGCATGCTCAGAAAACTGAAAGTATTGTAGCATAGTGAGGAAGTGGACTGCCAATCCTCTTACTTTGGATAAAACATCTTATATTTGTATCAAATACAAGGAGTGCAATTATGGACCAAGGTAAAATTGTTTAGGTAATATCTCTGCATCCCTTCATCTTCCAGGAAACTGGTTTATCACCTTTTTTGGTCATTCACAAAGACAATAAATTCCAGAGTTTACAGTCTCAAACTCAGACAATTGAAGATTCAAATGACATTTCACTGAATTAAAAATAAATATTTTCCCAGAGTTTAGGCTTTTGTCCTGATCTATGTGGATAATGCCAACTGAATTTTGAGCACTCTTACTCCATCCCAAAGTCAGCTATAATAAATGCTATGATCCAGAACATTAACCTCCAGCTCTCCCAAGCCCAAGCACCTACCTGGCAGAGGGCATCCCAAAAGCCAGTAGACTTCTGCTCTTGCCCAAGATAATCACTGAGAATGAGAATTTTATACCAAAAGTTGGGGTACTCTCTGAGAACCAGGATACTTGCCTCCAAAGCACCATTTAATGTATTTAGAAGGTAGCTATTTCCCACCAGATGTTAAAGATTCCTGAGGAAATCTATGGTCATGGTCCTTTAAAATATAATAGTTACTCTTTTAACAGTGCAGCGGGCTCTCCTTGAAAACCCTTCAGCTACTAGAAGTACTGTTGAAAGTAGATCACTCAACCCCAGATCTTCATAGTTCTACCCAGCCGTAATTAGGCTGTGGCCTGTATTTTTAATGTACCTCTCCTACCTGACCCTCCCTCTGCTTAGCCTCATCCTCTAATGGATGCCACTGTTGACGTATGACCCAAGGCTGCTTGATTCTGTTTTCTTACTTACCACATCCATCCTGACTCTTTTGCCTGACATACCTGCTCCTCTGTGTGTCCTTCACAAATCCCTGCCAGTGCTCACTGCCTTATGAATGACAAACTGAGGTGCTGGACTTATTCCAGTGTCCACATGAATAAATGGCTGGAGATGTAAATTAATTTTCTGTAAAGGAAACTGTACATCTTTATACCTTTGCTACATTTTGAGAAATAAAATGACTATTTTAAACCATAGTCCATGCATTTCAGTGCCATTTTGTGCCACACTTTTGCTTTGTGCAACTGGTAACTTTTAATATACAGTATATTTTCTAATCATTGGAAGTGCACAACTTAACACTTTATCTTATTCTGTAATCATTTTATTCAGGTATGTTTTATCCGTACAATTATGTGGTAATCTCCTAGTAGACAGAAATGGTTCCTAGCACACCAATGATATAACAGAAAATCAGGAAATGATGTTTGTTGACTGATTCATTAAAGTGTCTAGTAGGGAGGTTAAAAATCAGTGACATATTACATGTCATTCCTACGTTGAGTTCTTAAGTTTTTTGGTGTCAAATGCATAAGTAGTTTTGGAAGAAATCAAAACTTCAGAGATTTTTTTCCATGCTGGTAAAAACTAAATATAAATATCTACTTTAATATTTTTCCGTATTTTCTCTGGATTTCTTTTTAAATCTCTGAAAGATGTTCCCACTACAGAAGATGGGATATCTAAAATTTGTAGTTTATGCATATGCACGTGTAGGGGGAGAGATAGGGAAAGGGGAAGGGGAGGGCTTTCCTTTTTTTCTTTTTACCACATAAGCATATGTTATCCTTCATTCACAGTTCTCAGAGCAGTATAAAACTAGATTAACTCTCCCTTTGGAACTTCAGATATAAGGTGGGTTGTCCATCATTCTTATTGGCCTGCTCATCCTTATTTTTAGTTAGATGGAGAGCTGTATGCTTAGAGCTTTGCTGGTTAGTTTCTTCAGCTTGAAGACTCTTATATTTTAGAACATTTGCATCCATTCCAAAGCTTGAAGAAGCAGTCTCCCACTTGCTGCTGAGAGGTTTTATGTCTTCATTCTTTATGGCCCAGATTTGAGAATGTTTATTCTTCTTGGGGCCTTTGAGAGGTGATAAACTTTCTAATGACCCATGGGGCTTAGACTGAACCCATGCTGAAGAGTTTGCCATAACATCCCCTTGGATTACAAAAGGGTGATTTCTGGGTGCTGTCCAAGATGTGCTGTATTTCTTTATATTTCTGCAAGTAGCTGGATTTAGTCTAGAAAAGAAATGAAATATGTGAACTTTTGTCCATCACGTACCTACTTCGTAGTCCTAGGTATATTGTCATAGTACAAATAATATTTTTTCTTTTTAGTAAGTTCATAACTTCTTAAAAGTTTAAGACTTTTACCATCATAAGTCTTCATCTCTGATCATGATTTTTTTTTAAACACTACTCCAATCTTGCATTTCTAAATGCCTAGAGGACATGTTCATTTGGATACCTACTCTGACCTCAGCCTTCCTAATATAACAGCCACTCTGGGCCCCAGCTTCTTACCTATATATCTAGTTAAAGTAGATGGTCACTAAAAAGTAAAGTAGTTGTTTGCTCTAAAAATCTATTCTGTTTATTCTATTAGAATGGATTCAGTATATATGCTATGAGATTTTTTTCTATAACCAGTAAAAAAATCAATGTCTGAGAGAGGGAAGTTTTCCTCGAGGGAGCTTTTGTAAACTAATAATTGCAGCCACTTAAAATCACTGTTTTTTCAGTATTCCATTTTTTAACCATAGAATTTCAGTTATATTTTCAATTAACCTTTTAAATTTTGAGGTAACTGTAGACTTACATGCATTTGGGAGAAGTAATACAGAGAGATCCCATGAACTCTTCACCCAATTTCCCCAAAATAGCTTGCAAAACCATAGAACAATATCACAATCAGGATATTAACATTGATGTAGTCAAGATAGAGAACACTGCCCGCATGTTGTCCTCTTATAGTACCTGCTTCCTTCTTTCCCATCCCTTCCTTAATTCCTGGCAACCATTATTAATCTATTATCAAGTTATATTATTTTGTTATTTTAAGAATGTTACATAAAGGAATCATACCGTATGTAACCTTTTGGGATCAGCCTTTTTTTTTTTTTGTAAACGCAAAGTAATTGGAGATTCATCTATGTTGTTTTGTGTATCAGCAGTTCATTCCTTATTATAATTGCTGAGTCTGTGACATGAATGTACCATAGTTTGTTTAATAATTCATCCATTCAATGACATATAGATTATTTCCAGTTTATGGCTATTACAAATAGTTATACACACAGGATTTTTTGTGAGTTATTTTTTGTATAAGGTGTAAGTCTAAGGTTCATTTTTTTAGCCTATGGATATCCAGTTGTTCCAGCACCATTTGTTGAAAAGGCTCTTTTTTCTCCATTGAATTGCTTTTGAATTCCCTATCAAAATCAGTGGAGCATATTTATGTGGTCTATTTCTTGGTTCTCGCCTCAGTTCCACTGATATATATATTTATTTCTCCTCTAATACTACTGTCTTGATTACTCTAGCTATATAAAAGTTCTTGAAATCAGATAGACTGATCTCTCCCACTTTATCCTTGTTTGTCAAATTTGTTTCTGCTATTGTAGTGCATCTGCAGATAAATTCTGGAATAATCTTGTCTATATATGAAAAAGATCTTGCTGGGATTTTGATAGGCATTGTGTTAAACTTGTAATATTAATCTGGGAAGAACTGACATCTTTATTGAGGCTTTCAATTTATGAACATGCTATATCTTTCCACTCATTTAGATATTTTAAAAATTCTCTTATTCATATTATATGCTTTTGAGCATACAAACCCTGTACAACTAAGTATTTTTTTTCAGATATTTTAAGTGGTATTATATTTGTAATTTTGGTGTTCACATGTTCATTGCTTATATATAGAAGGAGAATTAATTTTGTACATTTATCTTGTATTCCGAGGCCTAGCATAACTTATTAGTTCTAAAGGGGGTGTGTGTGTGTGTGTGCACACATGCGTGCGCATGCGTGCGTGTGTGTTTTGCTAAATTTATTAGGATTTTCTATATAGAGAATAGCATCTTTCACAAGGAGGGATCGTTTTATTTCTTCCTTTCTGATTTGTATGCTTTTTATTTTTTTATTGCCTTATTGCAATGGCTAGAACTTCTAGTACAATGTTCAATAGAGTGGTGTATTAGTCTATTCTCATGCTGCTAATAAAAACATACCCAATACTGAGTAATTTATAAAGGAAAGAGGTTTAATTGACTCACAGTTCCACATGGCTGGGGAGGCCTCACAATCATGGTGGAAGGCAAAGGAGGAGCAAAGTCATGTCTTACATGGTGGCAGGCAAGAGAGCTTATGCAGGGGAACTCCTATTTATAAAACCATCAGATCTCCTGAGACTTGTTCACTACCATCAGAAGAGTATGGGGAAATTGCCCCCGTGATTCAGTTATCTGCACCTGACCCTGCCCTTGACACGTGGGGATTATTACAATTAAAGGTGAGATCTGGGTGGGGACACAGCCAAACTATATCAAGTGGTAAGAATTGACTTTATTAAGTTGAGTAAGTTCCCCTTTATTCCTATGTTTTTCTGACACTTTTTACCATGGATGGGTATTGAATTCTGTCAAATACCAATTTATGTGCCAATTAATAGGATCTTGTGATTTTTCTTCTTAAGCTTGCTAATATGAAGGATTTCATCAATTACTTTTTGGATATTAAACTAACCTTGAATTCCTGAAATAGACTTCACTTGGTCATGGTGTATAATTCTTTTTATTTAGAGCTGAATTCTATTTGCTAATATTTTGTTAGATTTATCTTGTTAAATCTAGATTTATGCAAAATCCTATTCTGTCATTTCCTTTTTTGTTTTGCCCTTGTCTGGTTTTGATATCATGCTAATAATGGCTTCATAAAATGAACTGAAAACTCCTATTTTCTGGAAGAAATTGTATAGAATTGGTACTAATTCTTCCTTAATTTATTGGTAAAATTCTCTTCTAAAACCACCTAGGCCAGGTGATTTCTTTTTTAGGGTTTTAAAACTATGAAATCAATTTCCTTATTAGTTACAGGGGTATTCAAATATTCTATTTCATATTGAATGAGTTGGGGTAGTTCATATTTTATTGAGGAAATAATCAATTTCCTCTAAAAAACACCTGGATACATGTGCAGAACGTGCAGGTTTGTTACATAGGTATATGTGTGCTATGGTGGTTTGTTGTACCTATTGACATGTCCTCTATGTTCCCTCCCCTCACCCCTCACCCCCTAACAGGCTCTGGTGTGTGATGTTCCCCTCTATGTGTCCATGTGTCCTCACTGTTCAACTCCCACTTATGAGTGAAAACATGTGGTGTTTGGTTTTCTGTTCCTGTGTTAAGTTTGCTGAAGATGATGGCTTCTAGCTTCATCCATGTCCCTGGAAAAGACATGATCTCATTCCTTTTTCTTTCTAATTACAAGACGATTTTTAAATTTATTTTTATTTTTAAGATTAAACATCCTCTTCGACAATCCAAAAACACAGTCCTTGCTCACTCAGGACACACACACCTAAAACAGTCAAAAGCGATTCCTCGATTTTCAATGACAAAGTAGGAAAAAAAGAATATGTTCTCAAGCTGCAGTTCAATTTTTCGGTCCTCTTTTCCAAAAAATTTTACTTTGCTATCAAGTCCACCCACCAATGATAAGGAAAGACAATTTTTCGAAAAGCCAACAAAACCCAGAAAAAGGAACAGGTATCAATTCAAAATTATCACCCAAAACACTGCTGTTGCAAAAAAAGAGCATGAAGTCAAATTTCCACAGCTTGTTAGAGAAGACCTTTAAAAATAATTCAGAAAATTAGGACTGGAACTACAGTGGTACAGACAGGTTATACTGTCACTATATGCATATACAGTGGTAAATGCGGATAATTCAAGAACATTCAGATTGGGAATATATTAAGCTTTCTCCTATTCCAGCAGAGGAAATAAAAACGTGTGTTGCTGGAATTAATATTAAAATTGTCCTTACAAATAGAAGGTAGAGCAACGGTGAAGAGAGAGAATGTGGAACAAAAGTAGCAAAGACAAGTCATTTTGAATCTAGGCTCTAACACCCAGGAAAGTTGAATAGAACTTAAATTCTTCTAAGCCAGTATCACTAAATTCTAGATTTGGCCTGAAACCAGTGGACCATATACACTACTAATAAATATCAAGTGCCCCACAGCATTTGTGGTATTAAAACATATTTTAAAATTATTATAAATTTCCATTCTGGAAAGCAGGTCAAAATGACACTGGATCATCCAGTCAGTTACAGGGTAAAGGGCTTCCTCCAAAGAGAACTGACTTGGCAGAAATTTAGGTTGGTAGGAATGTGATTAATGTGGAGTAAATGAGATCAGATTCTCAGTATAATTTTCATAAGGCTTCTTCTACCTACCCCGGTTGTAAGGAGTAGTACTGAGGGAGTTCCAACAGAATGTCTTAGAGGGATGCTTCTCAGAGACAAAGGGTCTGTAAGTTTAACTCTTGACCCCTCTTCTTACGTAAAGCTTGGGGAAGGAAATAAATATTTAATTTTTAACTACTCAGACCTTTGGACACATTATAATATTTAATATTCTGTAGTTTCATTTTCTGAACCCTTGGCTTATAATTTTTCTCAATTTACATTAAAAAATACATGAATGCACCCTCTTCAGTAGTACCACATGAAAATATAAACCTTTTCTTCCATATCTTCTACACAGGAAGAGTGAATGAATAGTACTCTAAATATCCTGCAGAGTTACTTTGTGTACTTGACAAAAGATTAGGGAAAACCAATCCACTTCCATATCTTGAGCAAGTAGTTAACTAGTCTTCAATCTCATCTTCCAAAATATCTTCATCAACATCCACAGCATAAAACAGCTGGTTAAAACGTGGTGAAGCAGGATCAGTGAAATGTTTGTAAGGGTTTGCTCTAGAGAGAGAACTCATGCAAATCCAACAGAAGTATTGCATACAGCCAGTACATGTCATCTTGTTATATCCATCTAATTTCTCTATGGGAGTTCCACAACATGGTCAGTTCTTGAAGTTTTTCTCTGGCCATTCCTTACTTTCCATCTTTTCCAGTGCCTTCTGAATCACCCTCTTACCACACCTTTGTTCCAAAAGTCTTTTATTGGCCTCATCTGCTTGCAGGTATTCATTTCGTAAGTCTATTAAT